CCCATAACATAGACCAGTATTTCGTTTTTATGACTATACCACAATCGAAGAATATTGAATCATAATTATTAAAAAACATGCAACATTGTCATCGTCGTATGCATTTAATATACAAATATACAAACACATATATATTTATATTTCAAGACTTAAACGGTATAATAACGTCATAGGGAGAGCAAGTACCATCACACACTTATGTTAAACGCTGATATTGTGTATTGCAGCTAATGCAAACCCGCCGGACGGCTACCGTTTAATTAATTTAATTGTTATTATTACTATTAATTTTTTCTATGTATAATCCGAAAATCTTAGAAATCGCCGGATAAGTGGATCGTACCGAAGAGAACAAAATCGTCCGGAGCCAACACGTTTCTCATCACCGTGTATATACATATTTATACCTCGCGCCTCCGGTGACAAAAACTGTTAATCAATATAATAGTATACACCGACAACAACAATTGGAAGGCCTAAAAAACAAAACAAAAAATACCAACACGTTTTTCTACGACGCCATCAGACACACGCACACACACACAATTTTAATAGAAAAAAAGTAATTGCAATAATGAAATACATACATTACATAAACATGTGTGTTAACTATTAGTTTTTTTTTCTATATTGTTATTCAAAGACCTTTCCGGCCGGGTTATATTAAAAATACCAACAACAACACTGCACATGACAATATTATCGTGACAGTTAAAACGATTGACAACAACGACATTTAGTGGTTAACGAACCGAAACGAAACTCATGTACATAATATTATGTGTCGTGTGCCAGAGAGAAATGAGTAGGGGGGCATCCCCTCGCTCTAAATTTCCTATTACACAGTAGTAGTAGTAGTAGTAATATATAAATATTGGTAAAAATTAATTACCATACCATATATTTTGTGATAACGGCCCGACGATGGTAAATAATAAACGGTTCGAACGGTTTAACCTTGAGCTCCCCCCGGCTCCTCTCGCGCACCATGGGCGTTCGGTTATCGTGGAAAATCAATATCCATCGAGGTCCGGACGGGTCGCTGGATTCGAAAATTGCCTCGTCTTAACACCCCGAGTCGGCCAAAATACCAAACAAAAGGACAATACAAAAATATATAATATGCAACTGTGTATCGAGTTGTGTACAAAGGCACAAGTGTAGTACTTATGCAAAACGGCGATATCTGTACACAGTATGTACAATATGTTTCAAAACGAGCTCTGACCGACTCGTTTGCAATTCCTACATGTACATTACATTGTCATCTTGTGATAACAAACTATATTACTAAACATAGCTACTATACTATAACACTCTACCACCTTTCTAAGCCAAGACGGGACGAGACACTATAGAAACGTACCTTTGGTGTGTCATAGTCGGTTTCCTGGGGGGCCGAATCGACCGAGCACGACTCCCTCTAGTCGGCGTTCATCATCCGAAGCGTCGACGTTTTTTTTTATCGGTACGAGTATAAGAAAAAAAAAAATAAATAAGAGTAGTTAAGAAAAAAAAAATGAGCCGACAAAACTACAGGAGGAAACTACGTTCCGGGGAGAAACGCAGCATTTTTATAAACATTCGAGCACAACCGAGGGATGGCTGATCGATCGGTTCACCTCGTCCGAAATTGGCCAACAGCTGATAGACCCTGCCGGGTGTCGACGGTGGCCGACCGGTGCCGAACCCGGCCGACCGGCGGGCGACGGAAGGACGTGCGAAAACGACCGTCCGACGGTAGATACATAAAGATAACACAACAACACCAGGCCGGGGAAAAAAGGGAAAATACAACTTGAATGTGTTTTTTTGTATTTTACACCGCACGAAAGGAAAAATCGTACAATTGATTATCTACGTACGATACGTCTGACCTACTAATTATAGACAAAAATATCAATAAAAATAAGTCGCGTGAAACCAGAAGTGTTCCGAATTGTAATTGGTATAAAGACAAACAATATTAAAAAAAAAATGTTTAAGACTATGTTGGTACACAACAAAGGGCACTAATAAGAAAAAGTGCACTTTGCAAAAAAAGCCGAATTAGGCCCTTTTTTTAAATAAGTGTCAACTGTCAATTGTAAAAACGATACTTAAACGGTGATTAAACTCATGTACGAATACGGTTGATTTATCGAAAGTCGGAAATCGAAAAAGTTTTCCCACCAACACACAGGCTCAAAAGTTTTTTTTTGTATGCCTTGGTTATACGCAACTAATAGTAACGGTTTAGTGTTATTTGTACACATGTCGTGTATTGTATAATTAATAACCGGAGCCACGCAGCTGATTTTTATTTATTTATTATTATTATTATTATTGTTATAACAAACGCCATATTAGCTCAAGTACAGTAATAAGATAATATTAAGAGATATTTTCACACATAAAATAAAATTAATACTAACTAAAACAACAACTTTAACACAATCACCAACCGATTAACAAATGATATACAGTTGCTAATAGTAATGAAAAAAGTCCAATCCGAATTCATTTCCCAACTTCAGAATCATCTCAAGGGAGTGATTTTGACCATAATTTTTTCAGTGGGAAATTTGGATCGAGATATTTTTGATAAGTTATTATTATTTAATTATTTTTTTATAGCCAATAAAGCACAAACATCTTGTTTGCATTCTTTCAAATTTTTTAATTTGACGAATAGAGAACGGGCACTATACTATTGATCCGTTTTCTAATATTGGGCCAACTAGAGAACAGAAAAAAACATTTAACAATGTACATCTTTAAGAGAAGATGTCTAGTGTTTTTTTTGCTTCAAAACAAATTTGATCAATATGAGTGGAAAACATTAGATTAAATTAAAATGTAGCGCACAGTCTTTACATTAAGCAGAAGATCGTCTCCAATTTTGCAACCAAAATTGATTATATTTTTCGTTCAATAAAATCAAATTTTTAAACAATCAGAAACATTTAGACTTAATTTATTAGCTTACTGCCATTTCAGAAGTCTGTTAAACTTATCTCGAAGAGTAGAACAATCCATTGTAATTTGTATTGAATGTAATAGAGTTTCAAGTCATCTGCAAAAAGTTTGCGGATGACCTTACTTGTAATAGGGAAATCTAAATATAAGTTTCACCTAAGTACACGTCTACTTGGTAACACTACACCGCACATACAAGACGTGTGCTTAGATCGCCTTATGCAATTTTTTACAAATAATAGACACAGACAAATATACCGGCTTAGCATTGAAATTTATAGATGTTGAGCGTTCCTGATTTTTCCTACGGATTTTTATGATGTAGATTGCTTGACGCTTCGCTTGGACAATTGAACGTTATACAATAGTTTTCAATTAAGGGAAAAAACAATTTACTAATAAAATGTAACGCGAACCACGTTGAGCAAGGAAGAGAAACACGAAATTACTTATTTTTTAGACGACTAAAATATAAAAAAAACATAAATTCCGCGTAATAATTATAATATTCATATACGGCCAACGGCTATTTCTCGCAAACAAGATTACCTAGTCAAGTGATTTATTTACAGTTTATACTAGCTCCGTTTCGCTCACTTCCTGGTGTAAACAACACCCATTAATTGCTATAAGTGCAATAAGATGCAAACGAATTATCTGTTTAACATAATATTATTTATCCGACGTGCGGAAAATAATATTATTCGTCGCGTTTCATAATAATGATAAGAACAACAACAACAGTAATGTCTCTCAATTAATTAACATTCATAAACGAGAATAAGGCTTACAAATTACATTAGTAACATTATGACAATGTAGACACAAGCTCCAAGCGCACACTCCACTTTGTCATAACAAAAGCGAGATTATTTTTTTTCCTCTCACACATACACAAACACTTTATTCTCACCCGCTCCCCCCTCCTGTCTAAGTCTTTCCCCAAGCCAAAAACGCATTCCAAAACCAAACCCTAAGCACCGTTTACAAGTTGTTCGCATAATGTAATTACTTCCACCGCGAACGTGTTGATCGATAGTATGTTTCGTTTAAAATATAAAAGCTAAAACAAAAACCGTATAAAGTTTGTTTGGAAAACTCGATCGCCGAGTTCATCGGTTTCCTTAGATCGAGTAACGGTTTTCTTTAATCCACAAAACTCATTCCAAAGGACCGCCGAAAAAGAGATAACGATTGGAAACTATACAGACACTCTCCTCCCCAACACGAGGAGGGGCACGACCATTTCGATAAAGTTGCCGGTTAGCTTTCTTTGAATATTATTCCCGTATAAGAGTTTTTATGTGTATATATATATTACAAATGTATATAAAAAACGCCTGGCCATAAATCACCGAGGTTATTCAATTAACTCTAAAGGGTTTGGGGTTCGACAGGTCGTCCGGGGTAACGGTCAATTAACGTTTTGCTGACCTCCGGAATCCGCCGGCGAAAAAGGGACGATATCGCATATAATAATATATTAATCCGTGTATTTTATTAAAATATTATAGTCAACGGTAGCCGCTCTAAACAGTTATATCAGTGCAAAACGCGTAGTTTTCAGTACTTGAGAGTTGAGGGGATTGAAAGCGGACGGATTTTTAAGGAGTTTCATATAGGCAATTTTTAAGATGAAAAAAGAGGTTCGTTTCAATAAATATTATAATGGCCTGACAAAATAAAACCTATTTAAGATAGTCCAATCTCAATTCTGTAAAAAAAATTCTAGTTCTTAGTTATGTAGAAAAGTTATTTTCATAAAAAAAATTCCGTTTATTGTATTTAAGCAAATTAAATTTTAAAAAAATGTTTAATTTAAAAAAACAATTTTTTTTACATAAAAAAAGCAAAAATTGTGTCTTACTATATAACCTAATAAATTAGCCAATGAACTCATACCGCTTTACAGAATTAAAAAAAAAGTCAATATTTTGTCAGGCTTTTTGGTCTTAAAGGTAAAAAAAAAAAATCAGACCGCTGTCAATCCTCATAACGACAAAATTTGTAATTAGAAAAATCATCAAATATAAACATCTAACCTCTGTTGAGTTTGTCGACGCTCTCGAATCTGCCCTCGACTTTGCTGCGCAGAGAATCCAAATCGAATGGCGACGTGAGTCCATGGTCCACGCTGCGACTCTTCCCTCTGGAAATATACAAAGCACATAATAAGTCGTTACTTCCTAGAATGACGCTGATAATGCAGTGTTGTACCGTTTCGTTTTTCGTTTTTATAACATTATATTATACATATTATGAGAAATGAGAATATCATCACAGGGTGTTCAATGGTATTTAAGCTTGCTAAAACCCGGCTATGGGTTCTAACTGTAAAAGTTACCAACTAACTCGTTGAACACCCTGTACAATAAATACGGATAATAATATGCGTGGTGTTGCCTTACCTTTTGTACGGAATACGTTCACTTGTGGTGCCGGCGAAATCTGAATTTCTTCGTGAACTAATAAAACAAACAAAAAACAAGCAATATAACTAACTACAAAACAAATACAACAAAAAATAACTAATAAAATAATAACGATGATATGACTAAACAAAAATATACTTCAAATAAAATAAAAAAATATCAATTATAAAATGACATACGCGCCACTGTTAGATGTATACATGCACTACACGGTATACAATCGTTATACCGACAGTTGCATACCTACTATAATCACTATATTATACTCTACAGCTATTAATATGATACTACTTATGTACAAGACAATCAGCAATTAATTACTATATACGCTTTTGTCGATATAATTAATGTACAACGACAAACGGAGGTGTGTGCTGTAACATAGTGCAAAATATACATCATGGTCGAATACAGTCTGTCTATAGCGAGTACACGGTGTATTATTATAATACAGGGTGGTTATTTTATCGTGAACCACTCAATATCTCATAGGGTTTTTATAAAAAATTAAATTTTTATTTTTCATAGTGTTTTTATACAATGTGATCTCAATGTTTCACAATTTTTTTTTTTACTCCCCCCCTTCCAACTGAAGTTATTGAAGTCTCAAGTTTAGGGAGAGAAGGAGGAGTGTAGTATTATTTTATCTGCGCGCACTTCCCCTCCCGTCCTAACTTTAAAACTCTTAGAACTTTAAAAATAGTTGTTCAAAACTGGTTATCGATCAGTCAAAATGTTAAGTACATTATTCTCAATTAAACAAAATAAATGAAATGTATGCATTACGTTTACTATTTAAGTTTCAAAAGTTCTATAAAAAGAACTAATTTGGAAGGGTGGTAGGAACATACAAATGCGTGAAAAATTGAGATCACATGTACTCGTGTTTTAACATTATGAAATAAAAAAATGTGATTTCTTATTACACCCTATAAGATATTGAGTGGTTCACGATGATCACCCTGTATATTCTGCACTGTGATTTAAAGAATTTGTACAAAACATAAAAGCAGACGGCTACATCATCGCGTAAGCGCCTATACAGTATAGTAATGTATTATAACTGTTGTCGGGACTCCCATGATGAATCAGCTGACAACATTTCCACATGTACTAATAAACGGTAATATTATGTGCGTTTCGTATAGTTCAGTAGGTCATACGCGCGGTAAGTTGTAAGTATTAGTGGGTCACAAGTGTTTGGGAACTTTCAAAGAAACCGTCAAGTACACACACACACACACAGCTCTTAATAAATGATGTAACGAGAACGCATTGTTTTGATTTTGTTTCGAAGAAAAAGTGTACACTATAGTCGGTATAATAATAATATTATATTGCACGATAAATTAAATTTAAAAAAAACAAGGATTGACATCACAACATGTAAACACGCCTGACAATGTTTTTATTCTCGTTGTTGCGCTTTGGTAAAAAAAAAACTAATAATTTGTTGTAAGAAAATTGCCTATCTCTAACCCCTTAAAAGATTTAGACTTTCAACCTCGTTCAGTGACGGTTTATTTGCCATGAGATTAATATTTTCTAGTGATTTTTTTTTTTATCAATCTAGCCGCACTAACGCAGAGATAATATTGTTTTTGTTTACATTAGGCATCAATCTAAGAATATTATTGTCGTACTATCTGCGCTGACGGTGTTTTCATCACTAATTGACTTTTCAACGAACGGAAACGTGTTTTGATTTTCAAATATTTGTTCAGTTTGTATTAAAAAGAGAAAAAAAATATGTCACTACTAGTTTTTCAAACAATTGTCCATTATGACAATGGCTAATAATATCTCTGTATGGGTAGTATTTACTTACTATAATAATATGTAACGACAAATATTATAATTTCATTTTTGTGTTAACATAAAAAGCGCTTTATAGTCGCTATAAAAAATGTATTCTTAACGTACTGAGAAAAAAAATTGTTTTTTTTACCGTATACTAACAATTTAATGTAATGTTATGTTCGTCTCGGGTCGTTGGGTAGAAAATATTAACTATTTGCATAATACTAATATGTATACATATAAATTAACTAAAAACGATTTCCTATTGTCTGATATATATGTTTTTTTATAATATCAGACTTCGCCGAATCGGTACTGTCCAATTACGAAAAGGAAAAATAAATATGTATTGCGCTAAAAAATATACTATTATTTTATTTATTCATTAAATACTTTGTTAATTGGATTCTCATTTACTACTTCATTTTAGGTATACGTGCACATTTCTGTACATTTTGTATTGGCCAGCTTTCACTGGGCACACGTCGCTTGGTAAAAAAGCGTACCTATATTGGCCGTTGTCAATAATCGATACCCCTCCCATCCCTTAGCCTTAAGTGACGACTAAATATTTTCGATGATAATTTGTACAAATTTCGCAATTGATTATTCGCATGCGAACACACAGAGTTTAATAAGTTGCAGTTATTGCGCGTTACGCGTCGACCGTTGTAAAAAACAAATATTGTCTAGCTATTTTTTTTTTTTTAATTAGTACCTATAGCTAGCTGCTAATAACGACTACGCCGTACGCCGTGCACACGCCGACACGCTACATTACATCAGTGTGCACACAATGCTTTATTTTTATTTTCATTGTTTTAGCGCGATGACAGCTTTCTCCTCTTTCTTTCCGGCCGCCCGTCTGTCTGTCTGTACGTATGTATATATGTAAGGCTCTGCGTATTCTATTTGGTTGTATCTCTCTCTCTCTCTCTGCGTGCGCTCGAGGGAGAAAATTATTTCCAATGGGAGAGGGGGAGGGTAAAAAAAAAATAATCGTCGGCCGTTAAATTGAAAGCCGCCGAACAAGAAGTGACTATGGCGCCGTTGTACGTGAGAGCTTATGGTAATGATAACGATGATTTTGGCGCTGCGAAATACCCAAAACAGATTTCGTCTAAGGCCCACTATATACGTACAGGGCAGTGCAAAACATTCATTGTTGTACGGTGGCGGGTGCGAAAAATGTGTATGACGAGACACGGGTGGAATAAATTATGAACGTACACCGCCGCGCCGAGTGAATTTATCGTCGTTTTAATGGTTCCGGATTTTCCTAGTCTTTCTATACATATATATATATATATATATGTATAAATTAAATTTAAAATCGCTCCGTGGAAATTAGACGGTCGCCGCCGACCCGTTTTTGAGATTATAAAATACCAGCCGGCAGCATCCCTTCGCGCATAATCGCTATTTCAATATTATTATGACCTCTCTCTCTATATATATATATATATAACATTTAGTAAAATGTTGCCATGCTCAAGAATTATTCAAATGTCACGAGCGAAAAACAACAACAGTTAATTGCACGTGCTACCTACCCTTCTGCCCGACGGATTCGTCAGAAGGGCGGTGAAAACGTTAAAACTTAAAACTACACCTATGTGTTGGAATAAAGCGTTAAGATATAGGCACACAAGACAAATATGTATCGTTCAAATATGTAACACAAGTATCGTTTAAGTCACTGGAAATTTACAAATAGTTTTTTACGCAGATAAGACAACGTATGAAGTGTGACGCCCCCTAGATCCGTTTTCTCCATATATTGCCTATATTATGCCCCTTAAAAAATAGACGTTTTCGTTACCCTTATAGTAGTGCAAACAAGTACTTATTATATAATTATTTATGTCCTCCAACATTTTAAATCTCTGGCTTCAAAATGTGTACACAGTATATACAGGAGGCTATATAGATAATTTGCATAACTCGATTTCGCCCCACCCTTAAAAATTGCACTTATGACACCATCTGAGCACTATGCTATCGCTATTGGCTAGTGTCGAATGGAGCACAAATATATAGGTTTTTTGCAAGTTTGCAATTTATATTATCAGTAATACTTTGTGGGAAGTTTAAACGGTTTTTTTTTTTTACAACACGTTGTTAACTATGTTATTATATTCTAAGAAAATGTTAATCGCATTCAGCTGGGCTAATGGCTATAGTAATTTAGGCGGCTGATGGATTCTCGTTAAAAGGTATAAGGACGACTGTTGGCATCAAACAAAAGAACCCCTTTCCTAAGAACAAAGAAATGTACTTATACATAAATACAGAATACTGTATACTGTGTAGACAATAGTTTCAGGACAGGACGTCTATACCGGTAAACAGTCCGCCGTGGATGTATGTGGTTATAAAAAGGTCGTTGTACTTCAATTATTTTTACTAGTAAATATTAGTATAGTAATTTGATAATGCATTCTTATCATACAGTTACATACAACAAATAATAATAATTATCCCATCGATCGTTTAACTCACCATTAATCTCACCGTTTTTAAAAGGGTCTTTTGAGTAAAATGTATAATAAATTGTTGTTTGAACCGTATTATATTATATAATATATTAGAGCGGGTAAATGAGGTTTTATTTTTTTGTACTTGCTGCGACTTTGGTACCCCGCCGAACAGTGCTATAATATAACTCTACTAACGAGTTGGCTAAGGAAGTGAAAACCGGCGACTACAGGGTGGTACACGGAAGTTGCGTTATAGGTAAACGGTTCGGTAATAACTATATTTAATCCATACCGAATGTACACAGAAACAATGGCGTGGTTATAATATTATTAATATGGCAGACAGCTACGACGTTTACTCTCCTCCATTGTGTTTGAGGACAATGTATTATTATTATCACTGTTTGGCGTTTATATTCGTCCCTTGGTGCTGCTGCTCTTGCGGTAAGTACACCCGACCAAATCGACCATTAATTATCATCAATCTAATATTTTCAAAAAGTAAGTAAATCTGTCGAATTCGCCTATCGTTTACAAATTTATACAATCGGTCGTTAGCGATTTGGTCGCCGACGTTTGTGTGTATTTTTTTTTTTTAATTTTAACGCGCACAAAAACGGACCTGGCAAATGAGTATTGTGTAATAGGCGAAACGTTCAAGTGGAAATCGGAGACGGGAAGATGAGAGAGAGCTAGTTAGCTGGCGGCTATAGTAATTTTCCAGAAGTGTTCCCAGAGCATTTATCTTGCTTA